GGAGAGCACAGAATCGAGTAAGGTCGAAGTCCTGACGGCAGATATTGGTTGGAAGTTATTGTTGGGGAATGGCAAATGTGTTTGCAAACGCAAAAAATAAACGGGCAAAGTATTCCAATAGTTGCTGCGTGTGTGTGCAGGGTTGACAGTAAGTGCGAGCGCGTTAATTTGAGCAGTGAGGCTACACTACTGCAAACTGTGTTACGAGGCAAATCGCTACGAGCAGTAGGGAATTAGGAAAGCAAGTGTGAAAAGTCTGCCGCACATAGAAAAAAAAACAGAGCACGCATTACCCGAAGTCGGCTTTTTGCCGCACAGAGTACAGTCTACGCAGAGGGGTATCCCCGTTTATGGATATGTATCCTCTAGGGAAGATAGTGCAATTTGAGCAGGACGTCAAACGGGGAGACAAGGGTAGGACTGCGGGGAGACGACCGTCAAGGGGTCAGAATTAAGGCACAACCAAACAGACAAAAATCAGGGCCAGAGGAAAACAATATTTTAAAATTGGGCGGGAAACTGTAGGCTAGACTGAGATGTAGTGGAATAGTGTGTTTCGAGTTGTAAAGATGCCATAAATAACCATGAGTGCGGCCCTTGGACAACGTTCAAAAATGCACGGCCACAGAAATCCGTTCAAGTTTGAGTAGAACCTTAAAAAACGTCTTCAAATAGCTGATTTTAGACTGAGAACCCTCCAAAGATCGGTAACAGGCCCGTTCTCAACAATAAGTGTCTGATAAGCAATAAGTGATTGCTAATTTTCATGCAACGACGATTTTTTGTTTGCAAAAACCGTTGAAAAAAATCACTTTTGCTGGCAATTTCTGAGATACAGTGAAGCCTCGGGTGACGAGCAACCTTATCTACGAGCAGTTCAGGTAACGATCGAGCCCCTTGCAGAGAATTTGTTTTGCTTGAGAAGCTTCCGCTCGGTTTACAAGTTGTCAGTGCGTGTGTGTGCGTGCCTGTGTCCGCCACTTATTTCCTCTCACTCCTCCCTCTTTCTTTCCCTTTATCCCTCATCTATGCTTGTCTTTATCTATCTTACTGGGTTTTCTTTCGTTTCTTGTATCCGCTCTCTCTCTCTCTCTCTTATTATTATTA